AATGCCTCCCCCATCCCGACCCTGCACCGCATCCCAGCACGTTGGGTTTGGCAATTGCAAGGCTTTGCCCTGGCTGCTCCAGGCTGAGGAAGATGAAAGAGGCACCAGGAACAAAGGCGCCCCCCATTGAGAGGCCTGCACCGACTTGCAGAACCACAGCCTCCAGCACTGACATCCCGCTTCTCATCACAACGTGCTTGTTTTGCCACCCCCTTACTCAAGGGGAAACCACAGCACAAGGGGGGATGCGGTGGAGCCAGGAGGGGCACCCCATACCCACACCCAACCCAAGGCACCTACACACCCCAAGGGAGACCCTGCAGTGGCACATGGGGATAGCTCTGTGCCCCTGCCCATTTCTGTCCCCCCGGGCGATTTTTATCCCCCCTCCACCCTAGGAAATCACTCAAACCCCATCAAACACAGGCTCAGTGCTGGCTGGTAGCAGGTGGGACATGCTCCTGCTCCTCGCAGCAGGCTGAGATCTTTCCTGACGATAAACCCTGTGCAAGGAGGGACAAGTGACCCCAACTGCTGCGTCCCTCTGTGTGGGGGCCCTGAGAAAAAGCCCCCAACGCGGCCACCAGCTCCACCATCTGTCACCATTGGCCAACAGAGCTGGAGCAACTGCCTGAGCAGGACCGGGGCAGGCAATGATTTGCTGCAAGGGCAAATCCCAGTGAGGCTGGGCAGGATGCGGGGCCAGCAATGGACCCTACAGATGGGGGAGCTGCCCCTCAGAAAAGGGACAACAAAGCAAAGCTGCGCTCAGACAGAGCGAGGGCACCCGACATCCAACAAAGATCCTGGAGATCACAAACCCTCCCGTGCAGGATCTTTCACATCACGTCTGCAACACAAAATGCCCTGCATTTTGTCCCCAACCAGCTCTGCTCACATTACACCACTCCCAAAAGAAGATTTTCTGCTCTGGCCGAGCTGCGCTGAGCAGCTGTTGTGAGTGGGGCACGGGAGGAGCGAGGTAATGCCAGCATGATGCTGTCCTGCATCCACCGCAGTGGAGCAGGGGACCCGGCTGTTATCAGAGGCTTTGGGAGCAGAAATAAATCTGAGGGCAGTTGAATGCATTGCCAACCACTGCAGGAGGGGACACCTGGAGACGACGACAGCACCTGAGTGCTGGGGGACCGTGCTCCCACTATGCTTTAACAGAATGGGGCTTGCAACCATCACCACCCAAGCTGGCAGGACCTTGTGTCCCTGAGCCTCACACACGGCCCCCCTGAGGCTCCCACATCTGGCAGCCCCCTGGGGCAAGCAGGGAGGTTCCTGGGGACCCCCGCAGAGCACCCACCCACAAACCCAAAAACAAGAATGTGGGGCTCCTCCTGTGACGCACAACCAGCAAACCCCCACCTCCTACCGGCCCCAACATGGAGCCACCGTGCTTTGCCGTGCTGTGCCAGCATCAGG